AAGACCACATCTAAAAATGCAACTGGACTTTTATTCTCCGTCTTCGCGAATATTTGGCTTCAAATTGGTACGCCTGCGTTGCAGATGGTCTGCAGTCTTAGAATGAAAACAAAATGGCGGACAGACGGCGGCAAAAAGTTGTCTCGTTTGAATGGTTCTAAAATGTAGCTAAAATGCTCTAAAGAGCTGAAAATCTTACAAAATCAACTGATTACCATCCAAACAACATGGAATGAGGTATATAATTTAAGGTTACCAGATGATTAATGCAGAAATGACTGGAGATTTTCTATCGCCGACTCGAAGAGCACTACTCGCCACAACAAGTGTTCGAATTTGACAGAAGAATAATCATTCGATGGACTAAAGCATATCAAACCTCATCTGAAAAGTAATGATGTCATTTTCTAAACGATGTGTTGAACTCATGCACGTGTGAATTACTGAACTCTGTATACAAAATCTATGTTGTGTATGAAGATTTGTTTTGGTGATTGTTTAACTTGAAAAACATACACAAATCCAAAAATATGAACTGTTTGATGATGGCACAGAACGCCAGATGTAAAATTGTACACCAAATAAAAAGAACAGAAACACAAGATCTTACATGATTCAAACGATCAAAATACTATTCAAAGTTATACGATACTGACACAACTGCAAAGACTGTACCGTTTATATTGTTTATATGAACTTTCAGAAATTTTGCATATTTTGAATAGTAAAGTCGAGCTAGTTATTTTGGAAAACTGAGAAAGACATGATATCTTAAGAAGTTACTTGAGTTCAGTTCGGTAAAAAATTATGATGTCATAAATAACTTATATAACTTAATTCTGTCTTGACTTATTACAAACAAAGACTCTATTGTGAAAATTAAATACCATTGTCGCAGCTACAGGAAGCCCACGTAAGCGATCCATGATCGTCTTGTTACATTTGCATATATGGTGTACAAGTGTGTAACCGTAAAGCAAGTAGAGCTAGCAAGATTAACATCATGCAAGTCTTTTATGCTGGAGAGCTGTTTGTATGAAATTAGACAAATTGTTTGTCTTCCCAAGTACCCTTCCGGTCTTRGCTTCTATGATTTGACCTTACGTTTCTTCAATTAGGTGTATAAGGAGACCTCGAATCATGATACTTTTCCTTGTGGGCCTGAGTTGACAATTTCCTTCCCATTTTCTCTTATATTTTGTCAATCGCAAATTTAGAAGGAAACTCAGGTTAATCAATGAGAAAATAACTTCTATAATAGTGTTGGATTCTCATTGGACTCCACTCAGATGAATGCAAAACATTTTGCATCACAAACGAAGCAGCTCAAGGAATTTAGAGAGAGAAACTGTCATAGTAATAAGTTTGAAAGCTACAACAGCTGTATCTGCGACATACTTTTCCCCTCAGTGTACAATGCTGTAGGTTTGGAAAAGGATGCTGCTTAATGTGATCCATTTCGTGTCATGTCTGTCCCAGATCCAGCAACTACTTAACCCTCTCATTCTCAAGGGCCCTAGGCTGTGACTGCCTATTTTCCCAAGGGGTGTCAGACAAATATGAGGTGTTTTTTTTTCTTCTATAATTTATATCATGAGACCAGAGGATTTCAAAACAAACAATAACCTTTTAAGTACTACCAATCAAAGCATCATGCAAGCATTTGAAAGAGTTATTTTCATCAGGTAAGCTGAGTCATTTGATTTTTGAAATACTAAAACATAGAAACTGTGTTTCTTATACAAGTGAATTAAACTATTTAATATAAACCTTGAAATTTTGAAATATACAAATGTTCATTATATTTAAGCATATCTGAATCGAATAAATCATGTTATTTACATTAAGAATAGTAAAAAACAACAACAAACAAACGACAGTTTTACCCACAATTTGAATCTCCTGCCATTATTTGAGGACACTTATATGTGCCGATAATGGTTATTGAAGCAGTCTTAGCAGATTCTGGGTTCGCATTTTTCACATCCTTCACTTCAGAACTTAACCCTCTTGTCCTTTAAGCAAACTTTACAACGACCTTTTGTCATTTTCACTGCCCCTCTTGTACAGCACCTTCAACTACATTAAGCTTTCTTGACGAGAAGACATTGATAAGACCCTTGACAACTTCAGTCCTGAAGGAAATCAGAGTGGGATGATCTGTTTAAGAGTGGGATGATCTGTTTAAGAGTGGGATGATCTGTTTAAGAGTGGGATGATCTGTTTAAGAGTGGGCTATCTTCATGAGAAGATAAGCATTGCTAATGCTTATATCGATAAATCAAGCTGCCAATGGCAACACAACTCGGAGATTGTGGGCGATGTTAAAAAAAAATCAACAATATGAAATTGAAAAGTGTATCACAGAGCTTATCATGTTCAGCTAAGACATTGTATTACTGTAGTATCAACAAAACTAGGATCGCAGTCTGTCGAACCTTCGCCGGCAAATTCGGCTACAAAACGTATTTGCTATCTATCCACTTTTCTAACTTTCTTCAAAATGACTAAGAATTTGTACTCCAAGTAAGTCAAGTAGATTTCCATGAAAATTGTCTCTTAGAACAGCTTTTCATCTCTTCGTTTTCCTGTTGTTGTTCACGAATCCTTTTGATCACTCGACGGTGATTTCTTGGGTGTCTTGACTTCCCTTTATGGGACCTTTAAAGTGATACACTGGCATCTCCTTGACATCTCCATGGCATCTCCATCTCCATAAATAATTGTTCCTCATAGTTTTATCATTTTGATCAGCTTGGGTGTCCTCTGTAGTATAACAYAGTAAGTGATAAACGTAAGTGTACTTGTGATCTTCTTCGTGCATCATCTTGTTATTTCAAAGTAGCTGTTTTTGATAATTTTAAACCATTTCCCATCATATTGATTCAGTATCGATGTTTTTCCGATATTTCCATGTCATTAAGGTATGATGAGAGTATTTCAAGTAGCAAATGAGCATTAAAACAATTAACCTGACAAGAAGTGATTGCTGCACACTCTTGAGTACTTCATCGGATCCCAGTCCCACCATAGTTAATAGAGGGAGATGGTTAGGAAAGCCGGCAAACTTCAAAGGGCCCCTCTATTGTTTCGCATTTGAGGGTGAATAGAACTATCTCGTGACAATGACCATGCACAGACTCCAAACAATGTGGCGGACAAGAGGATGCCGTTTTAGAAATTTTAGAGGCCAAAGAAGAGTTGGAGGAGCAATTCAGAGAAGCGGTTGACAGTGTAAGTGTTAAAGAAGCTGAGAAAAAGCTTTATTTTTTACAAAAATCGTGTATTTTACCCTAGAAACTATGTTGTTTTGATCTCACTGAACATATTAATTTCAGGGTCAACATGAAGATGGTATTGTTTGCGATCTTTGCGAAGGGAGTGCAAAAGTAAAGCCGGTTTGAAGAGGCACAAGACGATAAAGCACAAGAAAGAGTAAGAGGGAGATCAACATGTCCAAAACGTCGATTTTACTGTTGAAGATTTGCAATCACTGTCAATAAAAGCATGAGAAAAGATTCTTGACAGAAAAATCTACCCTAAAAGTGTTAGAGACGAGTTGCGATCACATGCTTTCTCCTGGAGAAATGTAGAGACAGACTATTAAGGGAATGTATGAACGTCTGGTTAAGCCTGGAAATGTCGAAAAATTCAACAAAGACTTTTTAGGGCTTGTCAAGAAATGCTGCAACACTGCTAAGTACAAAATTGGCTGATTGCATGGTAGCCAGAAGCAAACAAAAACATGACCAACCACTCCTGAAGTACCTGAAAAATTGTGTGATGAAGAAAAGGCTGGTTTGCAGTACCTTGGTGGCTATGTACTACATAAATTGTATAACAAGATAAATAAGAAATCAGCACAAAGTGAGCAAATACCTTCAATACTTAAAGGGCAACTGCCCCCAAAAATTGACCGTTTTTAGAAGAAAAGTAGAACTATGGTGGATCACGAAATTACAATTTTTAGATTGGATGTGTTATCTCTGACCCTGAGAAGAAATATCATAGTTATCATAAAATTCACAGTGATCAAGCTCTCCAGAAAGCCTGGATTGGTTGCATAAAGAGAGCGAACCTTCCTCTGCTAAAAAATTGTTATGTGTGTAGAGATCACTTTGAAGATTCCTGCTTTGAAGTTGACATAATGGAGCAGCTTATGGGTCAGAAAAGAAAGCGAAGACTGAAAAGAGATGCCGTTCCATCCTTATTTAACTTTTTGAAGAAATCCAAATGAAGTGCTACTTTGAAAATAGACTCAAACGTAAACAAGACCAGTAGGTGAGAACTCTTCGATATTCCATTATCCAGATGAATTATAATGCAAATCAAAGAGAAAAAAAACAAAACAAGCAACAACACAATGAAATTTAACCATTACTGTCTGAGTTACTATTGTTTCATTTTATCTAGTCTCTTAGCCTAAGGTCACAGAATGTTTTACATCCATGTTATAATCGGCTATATAGGACTTATTTCTTCTGATATATTGAAGCGATTTCTGTTTTTAAATTTACAGCTTCACGAACAAGCGTTCTTTTTAGATTTCCTCAATGTAATTTAATGGAACAGGGGCGTACATATATTTTCTCGGTGACGCGCTAAATTACTTCCTCGTTATTGTTTTATTTGCTGACGTGCTTCCCGGGTTTTTATTGGGTTATTTCTAAATCATTACAGTTAAGTTGAATTGACAAATATTAGTAAGAGCTTTTCTTTTTCGTGACTATATTTACCAGTACATTAGAACAATACAATTACCCTTTGTACAACGTCCTTTATCTGATGCACATATTGAATCGTATTGAATTAATTCTGATCGTTATAAAAAACTCAATGATGTATTCATACATCATTACATAACATATATACACTCATCAAATTGCTAAATTATTTTAATGTTCAACTGTTTTTATTTTTTTGTCTGAAGATTTTTGAACAGCTTTCCAACCCTATGTACTAGTGGCATTGCTGAAGAGAACCTAGTACCCCCAGAGGAATTCCAAAATATTGCTTCTGCAGAACCCTACAACAAGGAATTTGGAACTCAATGCTGCCTTGGCTATGTTGTCACCTCCACTGTAGCTACACAGACAGAACCAGTAATCATCCAATCTCCTACTGATGAAGCATCTGATCCTTCAATTGACACATCAAAAGATGGAATATTACTTGATCATTCCTACACTACCTCCCTTTCCTTGTCACCRGAAAAACCAAAAGTCCCAAAAATATCCCCCATCAAGTGAGATGTATCAGTATTCTCAGATGAGGAGGACAAGAACCTCAGTGATGATGATTTTGTCAWGTCATCTCAAGAGACTACCAGCAGTAGCACAGACACAGAGTCAGAAATAGAGAGTAGTGATGATGACGACATACTARCAAAACATGTTAAAGAGCCAAAGTACTTGGTGTTCAACTCCTGTTTACAGAAGCTGTTCATGTTTTGTTTAAGCTGTGGCTTACCTCTTAGCGATGTCAATACGCCACTTCCGAGAATTTTTGACGCGCGGGAATAAGTACTGGAAACTAGCATGCAAACGAGTCTTAGTGCGAAATTTAAATTTAAATTTAAATTTAACAGACCAAAACAAAAACAAGTAACAAAATGGTCTACTGCAGGTTTCAGGCTGTAAAAATGGCCATTACAATAGACCAGATATCGGCTATTTTACTTTCCCGAAAGACCACGATCGTTTAGACGTTTGGCTCAAGTTTTGTGGCCGAAATGATAGTTATTTCCGCAAAAATAGCCGTCAAGCGAAAGCCGGTCAATCCAATTTGCTACGAATGTGTAGCGACCATTTTTGTTCAAACATGTACAAAAAGTTATTAGGCGGCAAGTTATTTCTTGAACCGAAAGCAATCCCACTACTGTCACCAGAGGAAAAAAGAGAAACCAACATTGTGAACGATTGTCAATCCGAGGGACCTGGAAAACGAAGTCACGATTACGAAATCGACGATTACAAAGTTAGATCTATAAAACAACAGCGATCTTCAGCCGATTTTTCTTCAACCACTACTGAATTAAATGAATGCAATCCATTACTTGACCACTCTTACTACCAACCAAGCGATGATAGTACTGAACCTGTAAATAATACTGGGAAAACGAGTACAGTAAGCCAGACAGACCTTAGCATGGAGGACATTAACCAATGGTTTGATCATCTTCAGAAATTGAGAGAGGAAAAAGAGGAACTATCAAGTAAACTTAATGATAAAGCTAATCTTAAACGAGAATTATTTCTGGGCGATGTATTAAAATGTGATGAATCTGTCAAATTCTATACCGGTATTCCCTCTGGCCAGTGTTTACACATGTTATTAAAAGTCCACGAAACAGAATGTAAGAAGCTGAAGTACTGGGAGAAAAATAACAAAACTATGTATTATGAAAACACAGAAAAAAAGAAACCAGGACCAAAAAGAACTTTATCACTTCTACAAGAATTCATTCTTACACTTGTAAGACTGAGACTAGGTTTAACAGTAAAACATTTGTCCAACATATTTTCTATCTCTGAATCTCAAGCAAGTCGAATTTATGCCACTTGGGTCTGCTTTCTGTCCGCAAGTTTTAAGGACACTCTAGTCTCCTGGCCATCAAAGAAAATTGTCAAGAGAAAGCTACCAAGATCATTTAGGAAATACCCTGGTACACGTGTGATAATCGACTGTACTGAAATGTTTGTGGAGAAACCCTCTTCCCCCTATGCTCAGAAGGCCACATGGAGTGAGTACAAGGAGCACAATACAATCAAAACACTGGTAGGCATCACTCCTAATGGGTACTTTAGCTTCATGTCCAAGTTTTGGACTGGAAATACCAGTGACTGCAAGATCACACAAGAAAGTGGTTTGGTAGATTTGCTTGAAGCAGGAGATGTAGTGATGGCTGATAAAGGCTTTAATATAAAAGATATATTGACAAAGAAAGAAGTTTATCTCAATATTCCACCATTTGCAAAGAAAGGTACTTAACATATTTTTTATATGAAAACAACAAATTTATTTTAACATACTGTATAACATATAAAGCTCACACAATGCAAAATTAATATTCTGTTCTACAGGAAAACAACTTTCCAGAAAAGCTGTCATGTCAACCAGACAAATAGCTCAAGTACGAATCCATGTAGAGAGAGCCATAGAGAGACTTAAATAATTTTTAAATTAATATTAAAATATTTTCCAAGGGAATATTCCATTAACAGTTGTTCCTATTGTTAATCACATGTTGATTGTTTGTGGTGCACTGTGCAACTTACAAAAACCATTAGCTAGATAACATAATGGTGAAACAAATGAAAATATTACATTACGTCAAATACATATACAAGGTAAACAATGACAAATCTGTGTAAAATGCATATCTTTCTAATGTGTTTTAGTTTGCAAATACTTGTTTGAAAACAATTGGATGGATTTCCATGAGGTTATTGACTCATGATGACAATTTTTTATTTTTCGCACAGCCATTATAAATATTATGTATATATAAATAATTATTCTTACATGCATACAAGAACCTATGTTATTAATGAGCATGATGGTCAGATGTATATATAGACTATATAGACAATATACTAAACAAAAGATCAGAACTCATCTCTAAATGCCGACACAAAAACAAATTCTATAGGAAAATTCATTGGATGACGAGGGAATTCCGCAATGAATTTCACGASAAAAACSAYATCGCACGAGTCGCGAAGCGACGAGTGCGATATCGTTTTTTTGAGTGAAATTCATTGCGGAATTCCCGAGTCATCTAATGAATTTTTCTTGAATCTCATACCAACACTTATTATTTACAATTGGAAAATTTTTCGACAACGTGAACCTCGTCACGCGCCCTTCGGAAGCCATTTCGTAGCTGACTATATGATTAGCCAATAGGAAACGATCACAAATTTATCTGTTAGTGAACGTTTCATCATTTCATTCACTAAAGTTAGTTGGTAAGTTTACTGTTTTTCAATCCTACTAGAAAGGCTAGAAAGCTAATTATGGACTGTTGACGCTAAAAATCGATGTATTTTACATCACATCGAAAACAAGCGAAGATATGTTATTCGCTGTGATTATAGCTGGTCAAAAGGGGATCCACAAGCGAAGAAAATACACTGAAAAAATACTACAATACACTTGTATTTGCAAGTCGTTGGTTTTACAATGATTACTACATAAGCTTATAGGTAAGTAGTAAGCGATAATTGTTGTTTTCTTCGGCCATGGCGGTGTTTTCCGACGTGTGTTGTTGTTTTTTATCGAGACGACGTCGCCTTGTAGAGGCAAGTGAAAGATGTTTTTTGCGGCTCTTTTCGATGTTGAATAAATTGACTTCGAAGTTTGGTGTTTCGTATTCCCCCTCTGGTTGTTTTGGAAATTTGAAACTGGACATGTGAAATAACAGTAGGAGAATTGGACGATCTATGAGCATTTGTAGAACTGCTGGATACCACGCCTGTGATGGCCACACTGGTGTCACAAGAAGGAGCTTCTGAACACGGTATAATCGTAAACAGGTTAACACTCTTGGGATCTGGCTGAAAGGAGGAAAAGCATATGGTCTAAAATTACTCCAGTCAAGGGAAAATGCATCACAGGCGAAAGCATACGGGTCTGGTGACCACGAAACAAATTTATTCACTTTAGCATTCAACCTGGATGCAAATAAATCAATGTCAGGTTCAAAAGTTCGCTGACATAGCCATTCAAAAACATTAGGGTGTAAGCTCCATTCAGTATTCACACTAATGTGCCGTGACCTGAAATCTGCTATGTCATTGGTCACGCCAGGTACATGAACGGCTGACACTCAAATGCCCCTAGAAATACACCATGTCCAAATATCCCTTGCCAGGGAATTTAGGACGGGGGAACGTATACCACCCATATTATTGATATAAAAAACTGCTGTGGTGTTATCAAGTTTTAGCTGAATATGCTTGCCTCTGGCATGACTCGCAAAGCATTTAAGAGCAAAAAAGGCGGCCAAAGTTTCTAGATAATTAATGTGATAACTGGCTTCCTCACGTGACCAAGCACCACCAGTCTCTTTGCCATTGCAAAAGGCACCCCAGCCAAATAGGCTGGCATCACTTTCAATAGACAAGTCTACGGCAGGAGGGACAATGGGCGAACCATTGAATTCCTTTATATGATCAATAACCCATTTCAAATCGGCACGCGCAACAGCGCTCAAACTGGCTTGGTCCTCATAACTTGCACCCCGAGAAATAAGATTTGACTTGCATATTTCAACTGAACGGTAAAATAAACGTAAGTATTTCACAGCTCGAAAGGCTGAAACTAACAATCCTGTCACATGAGCGATATCGCGAATTGACGGACAACGGTTTTCTAATAAATCTTGACAAGAACTGATAATAGTCCCAACCTTATCAGCTGGCAATGACAATGTCATTGAAACAGAATCCACCACAAAGCCAAGAAATTGTATCTGTTGTGACGGAATGAGTTGTGACTTTGCTTGGTTAACAGTGAAACCGACACGTGATAATAGATTGCATACTTCATGTGCATGCCGAGAGCATTGATCACTAGACTTGGCAATTATCAGTGTATCATCAATATAATAAATAACACGAATGTTCTGAAAACGTAACGAAGCGTACACTGGCTTAAGAATTTT